TACTCAAAGTGGGTGGCTACAGGTATTCTAAGCCATTCTGTGAAGTTTTGAAATTATTTATTTATTTTTATTTTTTTTGGGCACCTCAAAAAATTTAAATTTCACTTAAAGTGGGTGGCCACAGGTATTTTAAGCCATTTTGTGAAGTTTTGAAATTTTAAATTTTTTTTTATTTTTCTTTTTTTTGGGCACCGCAAAAAAATTTAAATTTCACTCAAAGTAGGTGGCCACAGGTATTTTAACCATTTTGTGAAGTTTTGAAATTTTTGATTTTTTTTGGGCACCTCAAAAAATTTAAATTTCACTCAAAATGGGTGGCCACATGTGTTTTAGGCTATTCTGTGAAGTTTTGAATTTTTTGAATTTTTTTATTTTTTAAAAAAAAATTCACCAAATTTTATATTTTCCCGAAATTTGACTTTTTTTTATTTTCTGAAAATTTTTATGAATTTTTCTAGAATTTTTCAATTTTTATGTATTTTCTGAAAAAAAAAAATTTGTGAGAAAATAGGGAGAATGCATTCCGGAATCAAGAAGCTACAAAAAGTAGCTTCTCTTTTTCTTGCCACAAACTCATTCTGGAATCAAAAATGCATTCTGGAATCAAGTATTTTTAACAAACGCATTTTTATTTCAGAATGCAAAAATCGCTCCAGAATGCATTCCGGAAATTTTTTAACAAACGCCATTCTGTTCCGGAATGCATTCCGAAACAGAATTTTTATTCCGAAATGCATTCCATGCGCACCCTAGATTACCTATGGAAAGAATATCTTCGAGTACGAACGAATATTCTCCTCTTGCTTTACTTTCCCACTCACAATCCCAACCTTTTTGTTTTAATTTTTATTTTAATTTATCATATTTTTTTATTTTTTAGAAAAATTCGAGAAGTATTTCCATCTTTACGAGAGAGAGGCCGGCAAGCCCTACAGCCGGGCATTTTCTTTTTCAAAGTAACAAATTAGAAGCTAAAATAAACGGAATATGGATATATTATTATGGGTTAATATTACAAAAAACTCCAAACTGATACATCTGTGATAAATTTACACCGAACTAATTTTTTGACCACAAAAAACTCTAAACTTGTACACCTGTGACAAATTTATCCTGAACTAATTTTTTGACCACAAAAAACTTTAATCCAATGCACTTGTGACAAATTTACCCTATGTTAAATTGGATAAATATCACGAAAAATTACAAATTGATAAACCTGTGAATAACCGAGGGGTAAAATCCAAAACTGGTATACCCGTCAACTGTCACGTGTCATCAAATTCAGTAATTTAACGATAAAATTTAACAAAAACTAGCGGAGGATAAATTTGTCATGGGTGTACCGATTTGGGGTTTTTCGTGGTATTAACCATATTATTGTTGCTTAGAAATGGAAAAAAATAATACAAAATTTCGTAACCTAATGTTCCTTTCATATTGTAGTGTTAGGTATTGACGAAGTCAACTTCAGTATAGATCCAAAAATAATGTCTTATTGGTAGGAGTGAGTATGATCCGGGTTGGGCCGGTCCAACATCTAACCCTAGGACCAACCTGCACAGTGTTGGTCCCCAATTTTTGGGACCGAGGATCGACCCTATTGTGCTTGGGACTGAGGACTGGACCGACCCTATGGGTCCGGTCCGGTTCCAATGGGTCCGGTCCGGTTCTAGGATCAACCTTGGACGAACCGATTTTTTTTATTCGTTGAAAGGACAAATGACACACTTTGAAAATACATATCCATCGACAATGCAATATTGAGTAACCAAACTATGGATCCCGGTACAGATCAAATAAAAATCTAAGATAAGGCAATAACAAAAATCTCCACTAAAGAGTATACGAACACGTGAAATAAAATGGTCAAAATACATAACATAAACTATGGATTATACAATTTCATAACTTGTTAATTCTCAAAAGATTGCTTCAATTTCTGAACAACCAAAAACAAAACAAACAACTTCATATTTTTTTCTTCGACACCAAGGAGGGCCAAGTAAGGCGACCTGTGTTCGCCGTTCGTGAGGCCCTGAGAGGGGCCAAGAGAAGCAAGCTGGTTTGTGAGGCGAGCGAGGAGAGGCAGATCCAGCGAACAACCACAGAGAAGCGAGGGAAGAAGAAAGGCGATGCTCAATAGTCAATAGGGTTTCTATTTTCAACGCCAGAAGAAAGAGGAGGGAGGGGCTTTAGGTTCTTTGGAAAACAAATAAATATATTTTTATTTATATAGTTTTATATATATAGGGTTGATCCGAGTTGGACCAACCCTAAACTTCCAAGACCGAGGACCAACCCGCATAGTGCAGGATCCAGGGGTCCCAGGACCAAGGACCGACCCAGTCTCCCTGGGAACCGGACCAGGACCAGCTGGGTTGGGCCGGTCCAAGGTCGGTCCAGGGTCAACCCTGGACCATTGCTCACCCCTACCTATTGGTATGTGGATGTAATGCACTGAATATCGGCAACTTTCAAGAACTCTTTCCGTATTTGCAGGAACAAAGAAGAGGAGAGAAATCTAAAACGAATCCGATCTGCATTATAATGGGGCGGGCAATCAAGAAGACGTGCAAGAACGTGCAAGTATCGGAATTGGAATGCTTGATCTTCTCTAGTTAGAATTGAATGTGAAATATAGTGATGGGATTGCAATCGATTCAGCGAAATGCCCAGACAAATCCCAAAGTGGTGCACTAAAAGATGCCCCTGAATTTGGTTGTGATCATGTGGGTGCCATTTGTATCGCAGAAGGGGTGCGATTATTAGGATCGATTATGGACAAACTCTCTCTCTCTCTCTCTCTCTCTCTCTCTCTCTCTCTCTCTCTCTCTCTCTCTCTCTCTCTCTCTCTCTCTCTCTCTCTCTCTCTCTCTCTCTCTCTCTCTCTCTCTCTGTTCATGCAAGCGGGAATAGGGCAATCTAGCTCACATCAATCTCTTTTTTGAGATTGTCCGATATCGATCACCGGTACCAACCTCATATTTGAGGTCCTCGATTTTTTTTTTACTGCAAGCACGAAAGTCGCGATATGGAATAATAGATCTAAGAAGAAACTCCTAGGAAAGGAAATATTTGTGCTTGAAAATTACCATCCCATCACTTTCTTTACATAGCTGAAAGCCATGACTAAAATGGCGGGACCATCCGACCAAAACAAACAAACATTGGCAGGGCCAAATAAAAATTCTCCCATCCAATTTGAATTTTGTTCAAAAGTGTGAACTTGTTAAGTGACTCGATAAAGAAAACCATGTAATTTTTAAGGCATCGCCTTTCTTGTGCTACCTGTGATCGGTACATTACAGAACAAGTTCAATTTATAAGACCTTTCCTTATGTTTCGAATCTTTGATAATGGGGCGAGAAGAAAATTTCCGGCACGAAATCGCAAAAGATAAAATCGAATTTCCGCTCATTTTTTCTCTTACGAAAAATGTAAAGCTCTTTTCTTCATTTTCGATCCTAACATTCATTCCCTCTATTTTCTCTCACTTTTAGAAATCTAATTCATGTTTCCTCAAGCCTTTTGAAAGAGGGGAATTACATCCGGGCAAATACCACGAAAAATCTCAAATTTTGCACAATCTAACACAAATACCTCATAAATTTTTTTTTGTATTATCAAAAATCCTAAACTTGCTCACTATGACACAATTGCCCCAAACTTTTTTTCGTGTCAATGAAAAAATCAAAACTTATATATGTGTGACATATATATCCCTATTTCGGCTCCATCCAGGGGCATTTGTATTACAATAGACAAGTTTAGGATTTTTAACACAAAAAAAGCTCGGGATAGTTGTATTCAGTGGGCATAATTTGTAGGGATGATCGGTTCCTGCTCCGATCCAACCCCACCTAGGAACCGGGAACTGGACTGGAATGACCGGTTCCTAGTTTATGGGAACCAGGGACCGGACTGGATCCAATCCAATCCGGTTCGGTTCAGTCTGATGGAATCAGTGACTATAACGTTCTTCCAAACAAGGGTGTTGCACCAAATTTAACCAAGCAGTGCATCTAAACTACGGCTATCAATTGGTCAAGCCAGCAATAGCAACCATTGTCCTATTTTAGGCTAAGAATCCCATGAACCAAACCTTGGCATCAGTTCAAAGAACTTAATTTTCGAACTCAATAAAGATCATCACCAAAATGAGAGATAAGGTTCACGATTTCTCAAAAGGCCGAAACAACACGTCGATATGACGATCACGCCCTCTTCAGGCATTAATGCCAAGTGTCCAACCCCCTTCCTTCCTCAGCAAACCAGTTCAAAGCACTTAAACATTCAATCCTCGTCTTTTTATTGAGGGTAAGAACCCCGTCAAAGCAACTTCCGCATCAGTTTAAAGCACTTAATGCTCGAACTCAATATTAATCATCAGTGCAATGACAGATAAGGTTGATAATTACTGTAGAGGATAAAACGACACGACAATCCGTCGATCATGCCCTCTTCAGGCATTAATTCCAGCCGTATACGCATTCATCCCAATTCCACCCTCATGTTGAACGTCAGATATCACTCACAAACATTAATTACATTTACTAATTACTGAAAGGGACATGAAAATAATAACATAACCGGTCCGTCGGTCCGGGTCCGACCCTGGAACTGAGACCCGGACCGGTGGCCTCTGGAACTGACCAGAATTAGTCGGTTCGGTTGGGCGGTTCTCGATTTGGGCGATTCCTGTTGCACATCTCTAATAATTTGATGTTTTTTTTATTGTATTAACCCGTCACATCCACGCACTTGCAATTAAATTAAATTTTCCTTCCTTTGACCCAAAAAAGAAATAAATTTTCCTGCCGAAGAAAGGTGCGCTTCGCATGAGCTCTTTTTTTTCGCAGTGTGACCTGTGACGTGCGCACATACGTGTCTGTCCCCTGTTTTTTTTTTTTTGGTCGCAACAATGACCTGTTCGTTCAGTCAGACCAGGAATTTCCGGAGCAAGATCACGAAGCCCTTATAAAAGGACCTCGAAACCCGCCATCGTTCGCCACAGCTGTTCTGCTCTGCGTCTAGGTTTTGAGAGAGACAAGCACCAAAGAAAGAAAGCAGAGCGAGCGAGCAATCATGGTGATGAAGGTCCATGGAAGCCTCCTCTCCGGCCCGGTGAAGCGGGTCTTGGTCGCCCTCTACGAGAAGGAACTCGAGTTCGAGTTCGTACCCGTCGACATGCGGGCCGGCGAGCACAAGAAGGAGCACTTCCTCGCCCTCAACGTAAGTCCCCGTCCATGCCCACCACCCGTTCGATAGTATTCCTCTGAGATCTTTTCTTTCTTTGGGGTCTGGATGTGTTTTTTTCGAGATGCCCTCTCTTTCGTCTCTCTCGGATCTAACGTTTCTCGATCTCTCTCTGTGCAGCCTTTCGGTCAAGTCCCGGCCTTTGAGGACGGAGATTTGCAGTTATTCGGTAAGTCGTTCTATTACTGATAGATTTTCTTGTGTGACCGTGATGAAAGACGGAAGTATTTAGTCAAAGGGTGCTGATTCGATTGCTGATAGATCGTGCGACCATGATGAAAGATCAAGTGTTTTGGTCAAACCTTGAGCGTTCAATCGGTCAACTGAACAAGAAACAGCTACGCGAAATTTAGTATATATCTTGATTATGCTCTTTGTGGTTACAGAATCAAGGGCAATTACTCAATACATTGCTCATGTATACAAGGACAAGGGCGCTCCCCTCGTTTGCGAGGGCAAACCCATGGCGACTGTGAGCGTGTGGATGGAGGTCGAGGCCCACCAGTTTGACCCCGTGGCGTCGAAGCTGCAGTGGGAGCTTGTGTTAAAGTCGATGTTCGGCATGACCACGGATGCTGCAGTAGTCGAGGAGAACGAGGCCAAGCTCGCCAAGGTCCTCGACATCTATGAGGCCCGGCTGAGCCAGTCCAAGTACTTGGGCTGCGACTGCTTCACCCTGGCCGACCTCCACCACCTCCCGACCCTGAACAACCTGATGGGGACTCCTGTGAAGAAGCTGTTCGACGCCCGCCCCAAGGTGAGCGCTTGGGTGACCGACATCATGGCCCGGCCGTCTTTGGCCAAGGTTCTTGCGATGAGGAACCAGTAGTGAAGCAAAGGGTCTTGTTGAAATTATCTCATGCTGGGGGCAATAACATTAGATCTTTTCTACCCCTTTTTATGTGAGTTGGTAATTGCATTGTGTTGTTGATTCTGTCCTTTGGTCAATGTTTTATGTGGGATTTTCTCTGAAGGGTCGTCTTCAATCATCAAAGTTGGAGATGATGATGAGACTGGTGTTTTGTGATTGTCTATCATGAGCAGTAAAGATTGGACAGATGCAGAGTTATGTTTCACGAGTCACTGGCCAATGTCTCATCTTTTTAGTTTCATTGAAGTGTAATAATTGCTGCAAGATGAAATCCTCTTCTTTCATCATCTCCATGGGATGGCCTACAGCTTCCCTACCAATCACGAAAGCTTCACCCACTTTCATCTGTTAAAGGAATGCATGCACTAAAAATTCTAAAATTTATCGAGAATTTGTAATCAGACTCCTAAAATTTTTAAATAGTGCAATTAAATTTTAAGACTTGTCAAATTTGTATGATGGACTTAAAACAAGAGAGAAACAAAGGAAAAACTCAATTAATGAACCCTAACCAGAAATTGCTATAGCTCAAAAAGTTACTTTTTTTTTACCATAACTAACACTTAGATAAAATAAGGTTCTTACAACAAAGAAGTTAACCTGTAGCTAACAGAGTGGCATTCCCTAACATGTTACAAGAAGGAAAAGAAGACAGCCAGGAAAAATAGAACCACCAGTTGAAGTACCGGCACTTCGGGTTGAAACAATAGGCCGGTCAAAAACGAAGAAAAAGGAGGACGGCAAGGATAAGAATGTTGAATCCGAGCAAGTTGTCTGTAAAGCTGGTTCGTTGCGGAAGAGACATTGCTTGCTGTCATACCAGGTTTTCTGTAACTGTTGCAATGGCATTGAAGCAAGCTTTCCATTTCCAGTTCTTCATTTTTGGAACCTGTCCATGCTTCATTATACTAGTTCCCAAAACTTAGGCTTTAGAGGGACCTGCAAGTCCAGTAATATGTGCAAAATACTCGTGGAATTTCATGTCTGCAGAACATGTCCACGATTACAGAACATGTACAAAACATGTATTACGACAGCTCATACATGCCTAAATACAAAACAATGTCTACTAACACAATCTATGGCAAACTCAGCACATCACATCCTTCCCTTTTAACTTCCCACGCATGTGAGCTGAAATAACTCCAAGCACCCATAACACAACCAACATTGTCTTCAACCTGGAATTTTATTTCTTTAGCTTTGGCACATTTTGTTTCGCACGTCTCAATTGCACCTTGAGAGCTTTGACTTCAGCTTCCATGGAACCGCATAATCCTCACGATGGGTTGACATCTTTTCTTCCCTGACATCCCTCCCTCAAAATTTTTTGAACGCATTCCTTGCCGATTGATTGATTTCTGCAACAACCCAACTTAAAAAACCTCAACTTCCTCCAAATTTATATAATTTGGGCAGCCATGAAATCTTCTTCCCCAAATCCCCTTCGTCCTTGCTATCATATAAGAGATTTTAGGCCACAATAAAAAACACAGACATATCATTGTCAATTGGAGGGACCAATTTCATTGATTGATTTCTGCATCAACCCAACTTAAAAAACCACAACTTCCTCCAAATTTATATTTTGGGCAGCCGTGTAATCTTCTTCCCCAATTCCCCTTCGTCCTTGCTATCTGTCTAAAAGATTTTAGGCCACAATAGAAAACACAGACATATCGTTGTCAATTGGAGAGACCAATTTCATTGATTGGGACGACTTCGCTTTTCTCGTCTTGGATTTTGAGGTCACCGGGTGGTAATTGAGGATTCCAATGGTCTATTAGGGTTAGAGCGCGAATTTGGGGATTGGAATTTGGGATTCATCCTCACTTTCCCTACCAATCAAAAATGCTTCACCCACTTTCGTTTATACAAATTTTTCATATTTCACCTCAACATTCTTTCACCGTTGCAGTTCCTATACTTCCAAGAGTTAAGAGATAAAAGTCAAAATTCAAAAAAAATGTACACCAATACCACCCTCATCCAATTTTGCATCGAAATGCTCAACACATAAAAAGTTTTTAAGTTTTGAAAATTATTAATTCTTCTATTTTTGCCGTGGTATGATAGATATTCATTTTGACATTAGTCGGTCAGCTCACTTTTTGTCCAGCATGTGTATGCATTTGGTGTGGCGCTCCATTTGTATTTCAAACGGGAAAATGACTCATAATTTACACGAGTTAAAACTCAGGTAATAAAGACCACTCGTGCATTTTTTACTGTTCATATTCTTATCATGCAAAAAAGGCTAGAATAAAAAAGAATTGTAGGGATGGCGAGCTTCACGGATGCGTTTTTTATTTTAATGTGCCGGTACCCGCACGCCTAGTTTTTTCTTCTCTCACCCTAGGGAATACCCCGCCTTTTACATCCGAGAGTTCAGACGAACAATGCATTGATTATAAGTAACACGAAAAGGACAGTGGATTGAAAACTGCGTAATTTTCTTCAATGTTGATTAATAAGTTCACAAGGGCGCTTTTTGACAAAATCAAAATTTGGATAGGAGAATTTTCATTTGGCCACACCATTTTAGTCATTTGCTTGCGGCTATGTAAAGAAAGTGACCAGATTTGGCCCATAAAATTATCAAAAAGCTATAGACTTAAGTTGAAAGGACAAATAGTAATTCCAAGCACAAATATCTCCCAGCCCAAGCGTTTCTCTGTAGATCCATTCTATTTTTTATGACATATTTTCCTTTTATTTTTTTTCTTTTTAAAAAAATTGATTTTTAAATTATTTTTCTTTTTTCTTTTTCTTTTCTTTTCTTCGTTTTCTTTCTTTTTCTTTTTACTTCTTACTCAGCCAGTTGCTGGCCGTTGCCGTGGCTGGCTGAGGAAAAAGAAAAAAGAAAAATAAAGAAAAGGAAAAAAAATAAAAATAATTAAAACTTAAAAATTTTAAAAATTTGAAAATTTTGAACTATTTGTTAATTTTCCCCGGAAAATCAAATCATATACCAAACGGAAGAAAATATTTTCCAATTCATTTTCAGGTTTCAGCCGAACACTGGAAAATATTATCATTTTCCTGGAAAATGGCTTCCTAGAAAACATTTTCCAGAAATGTCACATTTTCCGCAAAACAAACGGAGCCTAAGTCCAATAATATTTTAAAGTACATTGCAATGACGAATCAAAATTTTGTTCTTTTTTTTTTTTGTAATTTCGTGGTGAAAAAAAAATTAAAATGGATAACAATTGAGATTTGGGTTCGGCAGTAAATTGCCTAAAAGGTTTATTACGGATTGACAGCCTTGATGGAACCGTTCAGGATTTGGGAATCGGGTAAGGAAGATTACTCTTCCACCTAAGGATACAACGTGCAATCACTGAATGGCCGCGGTGGCCCTTGTCGGTAGCATAGGGCTAACCGGTGCATTGTAGATTATAATCAATATTTTTAGCCCTTTCTCTCGTTTTTGGAACATTATTCACGTTTCCATAAAGTCTTTCAAAAGGTGAGGATTGCGTTCTTGCCCTTCAAAATAATTTTCCCTTCCCGAGACGAGTTGCACGTCTCGCGCGAGCCACTTATCGCCTTGTGACGAGTTGCACACAGGTGTCGTCTCCTTCCCCAAGACTGACTTCGTTTTCTGAGAAATCTTTCAGACAACATGCGGCGTAGTCGCAGTACGATGATGGATGTGAACAGATATGGCTACGGAGGAATCACCGCACGCGTCTCTCTCTCTCTCTCTCTCTCTCCATCCCGCTCAGCCACACGAGTCATATTTCTTTGGCCCCACTTTGTCTCTATCATCCCTCATCTCCATCTCCTAACGCTGAAACTAAAATGAAATTATCTCATCGGAAGGAAAGGAAAATCGAATGTCCGCATGGAGAACAGAAGGAGAAGTTGAAATCAGATCATCAAGCCATTATAAAAGGTGCCCAAAACCCACCATCATTCGCCACGATTGTCCTGCGTCCAGTTCTTGAGAGAAAAACAGAAACAAAGAAAGTTAGAGCAAAGCAATCATGGTGATGAAAGTCTATGGAAGCGCCCTGTCTACCGCGGCGATGCGGGTCTTCGCCGCCCTCTACGAGAAGTACCTCGAGTTCGAGTTCGTCCCCGTCAACATGGGAGCGGGGGAGCACAAGAAGGATCATTTCCTCGACCTCAACGTAAGCCTCCGCCCCTGCCCACCACCTCGAACAGTATTCCTCGCTGATTTCTACTCTTGGGGTCTCAACGTGTTCTTTTAAGAAAACCATCTTTCGTCTCTCTCGGATCCAACGTTTCTCAATCTCTCTGCGCAGCCTTTCGGTCAAGTCCCGGCCTTCGAGGACGGAGATATGAAGCTATTCGGTAAGTCGTCCTATCACTGATAGATTATCGTGGAAAGATGAAAGTATTTTAATCAACTGAACTAGAAACAACTACGCGCGATAAAATCTATGTCTTGACTGTGCTTTTTATGGTGGCAGAATCGAGGGCAATTACTTGATACATTGCTGAGGTATACGCGGACAAGGGCACTTCGCTCGTTTGCGAGGGCAAACCCATGGCGATGGTGGGCGTGTGGATGGAGGTTGAGGCGCACCAGTTTGACCCCGTGGCCTCGAAGCTGCAGTGGGTTTTTTCGTGTTCAAGCCGCGGTTCGGCATGGCCATGGATGCTGCGGCTGTCAAGGAGAACGAGGCCAAGCTCGCCAAGGTCCTCGACGTCTACGAGGCCCGGCTGGGCCAGTCCAAGTACTTGGGCTGCGACTGCTTCACCCTTGCCGACCTCCACCACATCCCAACACTGACCAACCTGATGGGGACACCCTTGAAGGAGCTGTTCGAAACCCGTCCCAAAGTGAGCGCGTGGGTGGCCGACATCATGGCCCGGCCAGCTTGGGCCAAGGTTCTTGCCATGGGGAACCGGCAGTGAAGCAAAGGGTCTAGTTTAAATTATCCAGTTTTAGGGGGCAGTAACACGAGACCTTTTTCACCCCATTTTTTTGTGAGTTGGTAATTGTATTTTGGTGTTGATGCTGTCCTTCTTTAGTCAATGTTTCATGTGGGAGTTGGGTGAACTTTTCGGGATTTGTCTTCAATCATCAAAGTTGGGGACGATGATGAGGCTGGTGTTTTGCGATTGTCTATCGTGAGCAATAAAGACTTGACTGATAAAGAGAGAGTTACATCTCTAATGTCTCATCTTTTTAGCTTCATTAGAGTAATGATTGCTGCAAGTGATGGTT